CGGAAATGTTAACACAACATCTGTAACATTATGAAGAGCGTATGAGAAATCAGAACTGATACCTTCAGGAGTGATGCAACCTCCATTTAGTGAACGAACGTCAATATGTTGAGCTGGAATCATGAATGGATCTTCCTTACTGAATAAACGTGGTATTGCTTTAACTGATTCTTCAATTAAACCGTATCCTGGTGTAATGCATTTATCCTCTAAAACTTCCATCTTTGTGCATGAAATAATAACGTCTTCAACTGTTGCGTCAGCAGATGTAGCGGCTAAGCTTGTAATTAATTTTGCAGGAAGTCCGATTTGTTGGAATTTGCGATCATATTTATAAACATGATTCATAATCTTTTCATAATTTTCATCAGTTATCTTTTCATAAACGTAATTTTGTAAATCAGCAACTCTTAACGGGTCAACCTGACAAAATACCAAAGTATCCCTGAAAACATAATATTTCAAAATGATTTCACCAAATGATTTGGATAATCATCGAACGCCTGAAATGCTAACAAATCATTTACCGGAATAATCATATCAAAAGTGACATCAACTTCTTCATTTGCTTTCTTGAAAACTTCTGAAGGGTCAATATATTTACCACATACTGAGTTATCATATTTTTGAACATTATTATATAACGAATGAACAAACTTTTTAACTTTCCTTTCTGATTTTGGTTTATATGTTGCAAATGCGAAAGATTCACGGGCGCAATCCATCTGAAGATAACCGGCATCACCTCTTTCGGTTTCTACTTCTAATTGTTTAAAGCTTTGATTTGATGATTTGTAACCAACGAATAAACGCATGCATTTAAAAGCGGCATCACATGTGAAAGCTTTATTTGAAACTAGAGTTGCTTTAACTTTGCGTTTAATATATGTGTCACCTAATTGGTTCACATCATGAGCCGGATTTGTAATTCTTAAATGAGTTTGTTTATCATCAAAATATGGAGTATCAGAGTCATAGCATGAACTTTCAAGTTCTCTATAATATCTTCTACCGTCATTCTTTGCGAATATTTCATTTATCTTTTCGAATGAATGAAATACATTTCCATTAATTGGTTTAGTGTTTGGCACTAAATAGTTAGTTCGTCATTTATGATGAAATAAAAAAATCAAAATTAAAAGATGAAAATGAATTTTAATTTTAATGAAATAATCAACTATGGCTGCAGGATTCTTTTAAAAGTTATGGGATAAAGTAAAAAGAGGAGCGCATAAAGTTTGGGAAACAATGAAGAAGGAGCAAATTGGATATTTAAGAATAAAGAAAGCAATTAGTGACGTTGGCAGAACAAATAGCACCTAATGTTCCGGGTAAGGGAAGTATTAAATAAAGGAGATAAAGTTTATCGTCGACTACCCGATATTGAGATAAAAATAATATTATATTTTCCACTACTTTCCTCCTATTTTATTAAGTATTCCTTCAGCAATTCCACCAACTGCGTTACCTGCTTGTGCTCCCATCGCTGGATTACCTGCTTTAGCACCTAATACTCCACCTTGATAGTTCCTGCCGTTTTCGCTACTGGTGCCAAAAAGTTTGCAATGGGTTTTATTATTTTCTGATGAACCCAACTTGCAGCTTTCTTAATTCCTTCCCATAACTTTTTAAAGAATCCTGCAGCCATTTCTGATTTAATATTAATTAAAAAATATATTTCATCACTTATATTCTAATTTTTATTTAATGATAAATGAAACCGATTTTAAAAATAAATGAGACAGAGGAGGAAGAAATAAATGAAAGTGAAAATGTTCAAAATAAAATAAACATTGTTAAACCCATTACTGAAACAAAAATTTTTTCATCTGTTGAAGAATTTAATGACTATTATGCTAATAATAAAAAATTATTTGAAGAATTGACAACATGTAAATTGAATAAAATGTTTAAAGTTGATGGATTCAAAATTTCAAAAATAAAAGGTGTTGTTAGTTTAAAATCTATTCCTCAATCAAGAATCACCTCATTAATGAAAATTGATGATTTAACAAAAAGAATAGAAATTATTGAAGAAAGAATGAATCAAATAATTGATTTCATAAATCATGACTCGTTGAGCCCGGGTCCTTAAAGTTCATCACTGAGTTCAAGGTTATATTCATCAAATATTTCATTATTAAATGCAACTTCTGCTAGTTTATTTATTTTTTCAATACGATCATTTGAAAGTCTATCGTTTAATTTTTTCTGAAGTTTTTCGTTACCAAGTTCTAAAATTTTACATGGATGATATGTAAATTCATGAAATTCTTTTTCCTCAGTTTTGATCATTAATTTACAAAGAACTTTTGTGGTTGGAATTCGTTTGAACCATTTATCCTTAATATTTGTTATAAATTCAATATCGGGAATTAATTCCCAAATTTTTGCATTTTCAATTAATTTATTAGTAGTATATGTTGACGGGTTTTGTGACTTTTTTTGTAAACGTAAGAATTCATACATTTTTGAGCGATTTTGTATCATTTTTTTTACATATGAAGTAAAAAATGTATGATTTTTACGGTTTTTATTCTTACGTTTTTGAATAAATCAAGATTTAAAAATTTTCAGAATCGTAAGAAATTTTCACTAAACCCACACATAATGAAATAAAAAAAAATAAAAAAAATAAAAAAATAAACTTTAAAAATTCATGTCTTACATTTTTTGAATAATTTATTTTTTTAATTAGTATGAAAATGAGTGAATCAAAATTCGTGACTGTGAATCAATTAATGAATAAACTTTCACCAATTCTCACCCATGTTAAACAAGTAGACGTTTATTTTGATGATTGCATAGAAAGTTTATTTTATAAAGGTAAGTTTAATATTAAACCTATTGCTTTTGCATTTGATGGTAAATTAATCGAAAATTCAAAAATTTGGAATTAATTCCGGATATTGAATTTATAACAAATATTAAGGATAAGTGGTTTAAACAACAAAACCTTTTCACTAAAGTTCTTTGTAGATTAATGATTAAAACTGAGGAAAAAGAATTTAACGGATTTAAATATCATCCATGTAAAATTTTAGAACTTGGTAACGAAAAACTTCAGAAAAAATTAAACGAAAGACTATCAAAAGATAAAGTTGAAAGAGTAAATAAACTCACTAAAGGTAATGATGATGAAGATGAATTTGATGAGTTCAACATTGAACTTTAAGAAACTAATGATTATTTGAATTTATGAAATCAATAATTTGATTTATTCGCTCTTCAATAATTTCTATTCTTTTTGTTAAATCATCTATTTTCATTAATGAGGTGATTCTTGATTGAGGAATAGATTTTAAACTAACCACACCTTTTATTTTTGAAATTTTGAATCCATGACCCTCCGGGTCTTGGACTCTGTCCTCAACTTTAAACATTTTATTCAATTTACACGTTGTCAATTCTTCAAATAATTTTTTATTATTAGCATAATAATCATTAAATTCTTCAACAGATGAAAAAATTTTTATTTCAGTAATTGGTTTAACAACGTTTATTTTTTGTTGAACATTTTCACTTTCATTTATTTCTTCCTCCTCTGTTTCATTTATTTTTAAAATCGGTTTCATTTATCATTAAATAAAAATTAGAATATAAGTGATGAAATATATTTTTTAATTAATATTAAATCAGAGATGGCGGCAGGATTCTTTAAAAAATTATGGGAAGGAATTAAGAAAGCTGCAAGTTGGGTTCATCAGAAAATAATAAAACCCATTGCAAACTTTTTGGCACCAGTAGCGAAAACGGCAGGAACTATCATAGGTGGAGTATTAGGTGCTAAAGCAGGTAATCCAGCGATGGGAGCACAAGCAGGTAACGCAGTTGGTGGAATTGCTGAAGGAATACTTAATAAAATAGGAGGAAAGTAGTGGAAAAATAAATATTATTTTTATCTCAATATCGGTTGTAGTCGACGATAAACCTTATCTCCTTTATTTAATACTTCCCTTACCGGAACATTAGGTGCTATTTGTTCAGCAACGTCACTAATTGCTTCTTTATTCTTAAATATCCAATTTGCTCCTTTCTTAATCCCTTCCCAAACTTTATGCGCTCCTCTTTTTACTTTATCCCATAACTTTTTAAAGAATCCTGCAGCCATAGTTGATTATTTCATTAAAATTAAAAATTCATTTCCATCTTTTAATTTTGATTTTTTTATTTATTAATAAATGACGACTAACTATTTGATGCCAAACACTAAACCGATTAATGGAAATGTGTTTCATTCATTCGAAAAGATAAATGAAATATTCGCAAAGAATGATGGAAGAAGATATTATAGAGAACTTGAATTAAATTTAACAGTTAGTGGAATTTATAATGTTACTCTCGTTTCTGTGAGTGGTAAATTTAATCCCATTCTTTTAGACCCTTCGGATTATATATCATTTATTAAAGATGACCATGAAAAAACGTATGATATGTATATAAATAATGTGATAGTGAGGGGGGATATTAACACAATTTTAAGTTATTTAAATGAATCATTTATCGTATGGTATGAAGAAAATTTTAAATCAAAACCTGATAAACTTTTTGAACTTGATGAAATAAATAACCTTATTAAATTTCCGCTGAAAATTAAATTTTGTACTCCTCGTCTTCGTTCATTGTTGGGGATATTAAATTTTGAAAAAGATGCTGGGGATGTTTTGTATTCTGACACTGGTTCCAATTTCATTTTAATCAAATGTGATAAAGTTAATACCCCAATGAGATTTTCACATCAAACATTAGACCCTAACTCTTACCCATCAATACAAAACATTTTATCCATCAACTTAAACACATTTTCTTTATCATATCCATTTCAATTATCCGGGAATTCATTTATTCTTCATTCAAAAGATTTATCAAATATTAAATTTAGAATAACTGACCTATTTGATTGTGATTTAGAATTTATGAATGAAATATTATGGCAATTTCAAATAGAAAAAATAGGTGATGAGATAACAGATTAAATATTTATTTTTAAATCGTAATAAATGATTAAACAACAACAACAACAGCAACCACAGACCATTACATACGCCACATATGCATATAATTCAAAGACGGCAGAACAAACGCAAAGGTTGAAATATGGAGATTTGGAGATAGTATTGAAAAATGACCATTTTGAATTCGTTTGCAAAGGTGGTGCGGTGATATCAAATATAAAAGAAATTTTATTTATGAATTCTAAAATTAAAGGAATAACGGATGATATAACATCAATTCCACCAGAAGAACAAAGATATTACGCATTAAATGCATTTCCTAAAGTTTTGAAGATTGGAAGATTTAATTTAAATGAGGAATTCATAAAAGGTTTCCTAAATGACATAATGAAGAAGGCAGATAAGGAATATGTTGATGAAAAAGATAATGAAATTATAGAAAGGGTTGATAGTGAATTAATGAAGAAAGCAAATTTGGTTTATGTTGATGAAAAAGATAATGAAATTATAGAAAGGGTTGAATGGTATCATGAACGGACATCAAAGATTTTAGAAGGTAAAGCCAATACAGGGTGGGTTTCAGGATGTTTAGACCTTAAAGCAGATAAAACTTATGTTAATGATGAGTTAAATAAGAAGGCAGATAAAACATATGTTAACGATGAGTTAAATAAGAAGGCAGATAAAACATATGTTAACGATGAGTTAGGGAAGAAGGCAGATAAGGAATATGTTAACGATGAGTTAAATAAGAAGGCAGATAAAACATATGTTAACGAAATATACCAAAGTTTGATAGGAACAAAAAATATTGAAACTATTGTTGGTGACTTTTCTGTCAATGAAGAAAATAAATATTTTAGATGGGTGTTTGTACAGTCCTTAAGAAATGGTATACGGTGGAAACTCATTCCGAAAAATAACAATGAAATGTATGTAAGTTATAAAAAGAATGATGGCACACAAGTTAAAGTTCCATTAGACAACAACTGCTACTTAAACTTATATGGAGACGAACAAAAGAAATATTTAAGAGTTTATGAAATGGTAGATATGACATTGCCTGACCCAGCTCCAGCACCATATTATTATGACTATGGTGTTGACGAAAGAACACTACACGCAGATGAACAAAAGCAAACATTATATTTAGATTTTTATAGATATAAAAGATATAATGCAATAGAAAAAACGAGAATAGTATATTATTATACAGATGACAGAAATAAATATTATAGTCAAGATTTTACCTACCCTGAAAACATAAGATTATATTATAAAAAATATTCTGACACAAACAAGAAGAAACCTGAAATAGTTACACTATATTTTAAGTTCAAAAGAGACAATCCTATAATATCTCATATGTTTGATTTAATGAACCCAGTAGGTTCTATTTATACATCTATGGATGCAAGAGGTCCTCAAGTAATGTTTGGTGTTGGTGCATGGGAACAAATAGTTGACAGGTTTTTGTATTGTGCAAACTCTTCAAAGGAAACAGGGGGAAGTAAAACGATTTCAGGTGAAAATTTACCTGCACATAGTCACTACGTAGATTTAAGCACATCTCAAGCGGGTTGGCATAAGCATAGATATTGGGATTGGTCAGGAATGACAAAAGGTAAAGGATATGATGTTAAAGATGACGTTAAATTTGCTATTAATTGTTACTGGAACGATACACAGGGAGAAGGAAACCATACACATAATGTTTCAGGATATACACAAACGACGGGACAGAGTAAAGATTACATGCCACCTTATATGACAGTTTATGCATGGTATAGAGTTCAATGAATGCTCAATGTTTGTGAAACAAACTTTAGGAGCTCCAAAAGAGCAAACGGCATAATTTAAATTTTTATTTTTATCATAAATGAATACCCCACAAGCTCAAAATTTACCACGAATCATAACAAGGGAGGAAATGATAAAAATGATGCAAGAACATGTTAAAAATAACAAACCACTAAAATTGAGAAAATGTGGTTATGCAGTAATGATGGAAAGAGAGATGTTGTCGAAGAGGAATAAAAATTAAATTTGGATAGAGTTTAAAAATTCATCTTTATTAAATTCATCTCTTCCAATCAATTTATTTATTCTATTAAATTCTTTTATTTTTGCTTCACTCAGTTTAAGGATTGAACGATAAGTTTCTAATTTTTCGATTATTTCTTTCCTCTCTTTATCGTTTTCAACCCCACCGCATTGCGACTTCTTTTTGTAATAGCATATTTTTGATTTAATTCTGTTTAGTTTCTTTTTATATTCATTGTCTGGACTCTTGGATGCTTCGTTGTCACTCATTTCTTACGAAATAAAAAAATTAAATATTATTTAAATATAATGGAGTAATAAAATAAATCGGAATTTCTATTAATTTATTGTCAACTTCAACTAATGCATTGCCGTTAATATATCTCACAAATTCAGCTATTGTGTCAAATCTTCGTCTTCTTTTGTCATTGATTTATCAGTTTTTCCATAATCGAGATGAATCAAAACTTTATCCCCTTGTTTAAAATTCATGAGCCCCGAATTAATTTGTTCACGTTTAACATCATTCAACCTTTCCATTTGCTTTCTAATATATTCCCATTCTTTTGAAATATCATTTTTCATTTCCACCGGTTTCATGTTTATTGTTCTATGCCATGTATTATTGTAATAATATACTAACTGTTGTATGATGGAGTCATGATTTCCATCCCAGTATATCTGACCGTTAACCCCTAACGCATCTCTAAGAGTTCTCATTACCACATCAACTATTTTATTATGAAACGTAAATGGAGAGGATGAAAAGTAAAAATTAATTTGTGGGAAATAATGAGTCATAGCTGCCTGAAATCCTTTATCACCATCACCCCTTATATTATCTACTCTTTCATGATCTAGTAAGTATTGAATAGCTCTTCTTGTTTCCTGTTCTGTTTTCCCTTTCACCGGAATGCAATATAAATATCTGGTGTTAATGTTAATGGCAAATAAATAAGTAACGTTTCCTTTTGAATATTCTAAATGATCAATTTCGTATGAATATGGATATAGTGCAAATGAAGGGCGACTAAATTTTTCCTTTAACGGTTGAATTTTTGGGTCAATTGGTTTATTTAATATTTTGAAATCCTTTTTAAAATCTTTTTGCTTCTTTAATGTTTGAAATGGATATAATAAAGTGAATGATGAAGGATTAACTGAAGGAGAGAGGTGGTACTGTCGTTGGAGGTTTTGGTGTTGCAAGTGGTTTAATTTTATCTGCTTTGATTTTGGATGATGAAGTTTTGGAATTCATTCCTTCCTTCATTAATTCTGGATGTATTCTATTCATTTGTTTTAAATATGCTGTATATAAAGGTTTAATATACTTTCCGCGCTTCGAGTTTATGTTGAAGGATGAATTCCAAAAGTTGATCTTCATTTAAAAGTCGGGCTGAATATGGTTTAACTAATGAATCATAAATTAAAGCTTGTGCATCATTTATGGTCTGAAGGACCTGGGTGTTTTGCACCTTTTGTTTTTGCTCCTTTTGCTTTTGCGGCTCAGGATTATATAATTTATATAATTCATCAATATCTTCTTCTGTTAATACTTTATTTTTGAAATCTTTCAACTGTTTAAGTTGTGATTTAGTTTTTTCCTTTGTATATTCATTATTTTTAATTTTGTCTTTAATTTTAGAAATTATTTTATCATGATATTTCAAAACTGCATTTTTATAATATGGATAATAATATTCCATATCATCACCCGTTATATTTTTATTATGTTTTTGGAGATATGCTTTTAAATCGTAATAATCAAGAAAATTTTGATTAAGTACTAAATCATCAATCAAAATTTTTAAATCTACGCTATTCATTTATATAAAAATAAAATAAATGTTTTAAGGGTGCCCACCTCTTTGAATCATAGTATCAAAACCATCATTAACGGTTCCTTTTGTCTCTTCTGTGGCATTTTATTAAAAATAAAATTTTAAATTGTATTAAATAAATGGCATACAACATCCATTTTCACAACATACAGCCTTAGTGTGTGCTCCTGTTAATGCAGTCTTACCGATTGTTAAGCGAGTCATTGACCCGTTTTTAAGTTGTAAATTAATATTCTGACCATCAAAATCACTTTATCATTTATTATATCCAAATAATTTTTAGGTGTTAATTGCTTATTTTGTCGTAAACTAACACCTTTCATTTTTTGTGCAATCTTTTTTAAAATCACTTCCATCAATTGAACCGTTGAATGATGTATAACACTTAGGGCTATAAAGCAACCATGTTATCACCTTGTTTCTCAATTGCTAACACCCAATAACTTCTTCTCATGTGCTTTTTCTTCAGCTTTATTCTTTAATTTAGGTTTAAATTTCTCATTAAAACAAAAGAAATCAAAAGGTGCGAATTTGTAAATGTTTTTATCATAAAATTTTTTATCGGTAACAATTGCTTGAAATGCTTGAGTGTTAGGAAGATTTGGGTCGCCAGCAATAGCCCAATAAGATGAATCAGTATCACCTTCAATGAAATGAAAACGATTAACATCCATGCATTTATACATAAAATCATAAATGAAAACCAAATACCAGTATTTAGCATTATCTAAAGTGAAGAATGCCTCTTGTAAACATGTATCACATCTATAAAATCTATCTTTAAGCATCACTTGATACGTATCTTCACCTATTTCTCTTATGTTTTTAAACTTATTTGACATACATGCAACGCGTGCCTTCTGTGCATTCATTATTTTAGTCTTTGCGTAATTTTGTGTATTCATTGCATCGTAACCATATGATCCATTAAGTGAAATCTTGCAAAATAAACTTTTTCCTTTATTTCCTTCTAATTCAGCCTTTTGTCTTTCATTCATAAATTCGTTCGCAAATTCATTAAAACAAGTTTTTAGTAAATGTTAAAATTGATTGAATATCATCAATGATAAAATGAAATCTGTCTATTAGATACCAAAGATAATAAGAAGAAAATGGTTGATATTGGTTGTGTGTTGATGCTAACTGAGTTAATTTTCTCTGTTTCTGGTCAACTGGTAGATTGTTTGATTTCATGTAATTATACATAAAACTGCCAATTGTTTTTTCATCTGTGATAATATCTAAGTTTCTTATTATCGGTAAAAAGTTTATGTAATCATTAATGTATTTTTCATCAATGTGACCCTTTACTTCAGCCACGAATAAAGTATTTTTCTTCTTAATTATTCCCAATGCTTTTGCTTTCTTTGTTGCTGTATCACAAATGATAACACCATTCAATCTTCCCGGCATATACATTTTATGGTCAGTATATTGAATGAAATCATGAGGATTAGATGAAAATGATGAAGGATATAATGAATTAAAGTCAACACCAACGAAATGAGTCATAATGTTGGAAGTGTCCTCATTTGATACAGTTTTAGTTTCTGGATTATATGAAAGTTTATTAATGTGCGTGATTCCTTTAAGATTTACTCTATGTTGAACATTTGATAAACCACCAGTAATTCCATTACGGAGATGTGATAAGCTTCAACTGAATCTAGAGTCATTGGTAAATTATTTTTTAATGTATAATTTCTTAAATTGATTCTTAAACGTTGAACATCTCATCTTTATTTGATTTTACGACATTGCAATAACAACACATTAACTGACAATTTTCTTTGGTATGTGGTTTTTCATTATCGATTCTATCTAATGTTGGTTTATTAGCATATGTAAACGCTTTACCACACATTTTGCATTTAGATGAAAGGATTAAATCGTGATAGTATTGATAGTCATCCATTGAAACATTGTTTTTAGTATCCCTTTCTGCTTTTTCATCTTGTTTCTTATATGAATCAATTTTATATTTCCAATACTTTTTTGTTAATTCAAAACTTGATTCCACATTTTCTTCTTCTGGATATGTTTCGTTAGGATTGAAGTTCTTATATGCTAACGCGTAACGAATCATTGATGCATTCGATGATAAAGAAAGATTATGAAGCATGTCAATTTTATAAACAAATGTTTCTTCAATAATTTTATCAATTGGGTCAATCATAATTTCAACGTCTTTATTGCAATAATGAATAAAATATTCTAATCTATTCTCAAAATTTTTAGCATCATTGAGATATATTTGATAATCTGAATCGGATATTGTTTCTTGAGTTAATGCTGAATAAAATGAATCTTGAGTGAATGGTTCCACTTTATATAATTCATCTTCGTAATTCTCCCATGTGATGAATTGATAAGGGAAAAAGGATTTAACACGTGATTTATTGTTTCCGAAATCTTGAGTGAATTGGTCTAATGTTCCACCCGCTATATAATTTCTGATGTCAATAAATCTTAATTCATATGGACAGTTTGTTTTCTTTACAATGATTTGCTTAAATTGAGAAGAAGAACCCAGCATTGATTTTATTTTCCATTTTGCAGTGTTTAAATCACGAAGAATTAAATTTAAATCAAACTTTCCCGAATTAAAACCTATGATATTCACTTTATTGAATTCCTCATCTAGAAGTTCTTTAAATGCTTCCTTCTGTTTTTCATTTAATGTATGGGACAAAGTCCCCGCCGTTTGGTCCGTTTGCGGCTTCATTAATTCTTCATATTGTTCAATATTTGATTTAGCAACTAATGAACAGGTTGAAAATAAAAATTCAATCCAATCAGAGATGAACGAATCACTTGATGTTAAGCAAAAATTCCTCGTAAATGTTTTATCACGGTCTACGACCTCGCCGCTTCGGTCTGAAAGACCTTCAGGACTCAAAGAGTCCGTTTGCGGCTTTATTTTGACAGTTGATGATACCATAAATGGTTTTAAGTAAGCGTTCAAAGTTGCACATTCAGAAAGTTGAAGTTCTTCTTTAGTCTCTAATGTTTCGAAGTCAAAAGTAATATAATATCTTGTTGGTTTATAATATTCCTGCAAATTGTGAGCTAATAGCCATTGATATATCTTCTGTTTCGTGATATGTGGTGCATATGGTTGTTGTGTGTTTTGCAATTGAACGTCTTGAATTAATCTTCCATTATTTTCTTTACATTTCTCACAATGTTTTAAAAATCTTCTTTGGTTTTTCCTTTCTGGGTCATCACGGATAGAATATACTTCTTCTTTGCAAAAGGGGCAAACTTTATATCCTGTGAGTGCTTCAACGTCTGTAATTCTGTCAGCGTGAAGTTTTCCACATGGACTCTGTGTTAATAAAATATTTACTGTTTCAAATTCTGGATCTATCATTATTGATTCCACTAATGGAAAGTCTACCTTATTTATGTCTACGTCTTCTGGTTGAGGGTCACAATAATAAAAATCAATATTAACGTTTAACATTCTTGCTAACCTCTCACTTTCTGATGAAATGTCAAATCCTTCATATGCATCTATGGCTTCATTTAAATAACTTCTACGAGTTTTAGGATTAACACCATCAGGAATGTTATAGAAGCGTTTAAATAACCTTCTACCTTCGGCTCTTATTTGATTATCATTCATTTTAGCTGTTCCGTTTTTGTTCATTTATGTAAGAATAAAAAATTAAAAAATAAATAAAAATAAAGTTTATTTTTTTTAAAGTCCAGGGCTAAAGTCCATAAAATGAATTAAGAACACATAAATTTTTATCATCTGCGACGTGACGAATACATTTTAATTTACTCAAGAATGCGTACCCTGATACATTAAATCTAATTCCTGTCTTATTTAATTTCACAACTTTGAAAAGGAATGTATGAATAGCTATAAAATGATGAGATGATGTTTTATGGGTTGCTTCCATTTTTTCTGAAATAAATGAATAAATATAATGTTTATAAGTTTTCATATCTTTTATATTCTTAATAACGAATGGTATAGACCTTTCAACTTCGTCTTCCTTCGGTGCTGTTCTTTCATATGAAACATTATTAGTATCTTCAATAATGAAACCACAATCGCATAAAATTTTATATGTACCAATTGTTTCTTTTGATATTTTATCTAACAAATCAAAAACTTTATCAACACCTGTACATTTATTTAAATAATAATTTGTGTAAATATCATGGTCTTCTTTCTTAATCGTATTTGTTGCATATGTTACATTTTTCAGTGCTTTTTTGAATTTTTCAGAATCAAGAGGAGGTGAAAGTAATATACATGGATAATCTCCATCGTCAATAAATTGTAACTTATGTTTATGAATAAATTTTGTGCCTTCTTCTGAAAGTGTTTCATCTATTTCACCATCTAATAAATTTTTAGTAGATTCCAAAAAGTAATTTTTATATCTTTCTTCATGAGATTTTTGAACTTCTGATTCTGAAGCTGGGATATTCATTAAACCCTCTACTTCATTCTCATTATATTTTTCAACTTCTCTTAATTCCTTAATTTTTTCATCTATTTCATCTCTTATTTTTTCCAGTCTTTCAATTTCATCATATTCATCATCTTTAATCCGTTCTTCATAATATTCAGGGAAAACATCAGGTTCTTTAGGTTTTTCTTCTTCAGATGTGGGATATAAGAAATTTATAACATCATCTTTATTCATTTTTCCATCATAATCTAAATCATTTAATAACTCCGCGAATTTTTGACAATTTCTTAAATAATATTTATTAACTTCATAACTCGCCTCCTCTAATATATCCTTTATTTCCTCGTTTGTGAATCCCAATTTTTTAACGTCGTTAGTCTTGACACTCATTTTCATACTAATTAAAAAAATAAATTATTCAAAAAATGTAAGACATGAATTTTTAAAGTTTATTTTTTTATTTTTTTTATTTTTTTTTATTTCATTATGTGTGGGTTTAGTGAAAATTTCTTACGATTCTGAAAATTTTTAAATCTTGATTTATTCAAAAACGTAAGAATAAAAACCGTAAAAATCATACATTTTTTACTTCATATGTAAAAAAAATGATACAAAATCGCTCAAAAATGTATGAATTCTTACGTTTACAAAAAAAGTCACAAAACCCGTCAACATATACTACTTTTATTATCAAATGCAAAAGCAATGGGTTTAATATTAAACTTACCTTTATAATATAAACTTTCTACATAATCATCGAAATAAACATCTACTTGTTTAACATTTTCAAGAATTGGTGAAAGAGCATCCATTAATTGATTGACGGTTACGAATCTTGATCCACTCATTTTCTTACGAATTAAAAAAATAAATTATTCATAAATGTCAGAAGAAAATATTTAAATAAATTATTTAAATTTTTTTACTCTATTCAAGAATTTTATTTTTGATATAACTCATTGAATTCAAAATTTTTTAAAAAATTGAACCATATTTGGAATCTATGCAAAAATATATTCTTTTTATTAATGGTAATATAGGAATTGTAGGAATAAAAACTTTTTATAAATTATTCATAAATTTTTAAAATCTGCTATTCAGAAGTATGTTCAAAAATCATTCAATTATGTGAGAATTCTTACGATTACAAAAAAGGTCACACAACCCTCCCTCATATACTACTTTTATTTGTTTTTTTTTAGCGCACTACTAAGATATCCAGAACTAATCAATTCACATTTCATGATATAATTTTAAATAGAAAGACTTTTCTTCCCTTAAAAGAAATTGAAAGAACATTTGAAATGTATTTTCATAAAGAGAAGCTGTTATAATAAAGTACTCACAAAATCTAGATTGAGAGGCGGTCAATGACTTTTGAGGGGAAATTAACGCATGGAATTTAATATTATTTAGGTTGATATTCTTGCTTATTATTTCAGAAAAAATCTTAAAAATTTCAATATGAAAATTGAAAGCAATTCAAAAAAATTGCTAACATGTAAATTTTAATATCCTATGCATAATTTCATATTTTGAACATTTTTTATTTTTGTTTAAAACTTAAAATTTTGCGAATTTAATATAATTTATAAAATATAATACGTATATCTATTTAAAATACACTAAATTTAATTGTTAATTGACGTTTTTGGGAATGAGTTTTATCAAAACATGCCTGAATCCGAAAATTTGAAAGAACGAATTACACAATCATATATGTAGAATTCAAAATACAAACTTAAAGATTGTATACGTTTAAAATTATTCAGATTGTGTTTGATTTCCACTCATTCTGTTTCTTTTGAACTCTAACACTAACATTTCATGATGATTACATGATCCATTTATACATGGTTGAATTGTTCCAGATTCTACCAGAAAATCAATCCAAATTTCTCAATGCATTCATGTTGATTGGACAAAATTTAAAATTTATCAGCCTGTTTCCAGAGAAACTCATATATTCCCTAATGAAATGTAATTTTTGCTACATTTATTTCAATCAAATTTCAAAAAATTGACTGCAGAGCTTGAAAAGGTGATGAATCATGTTGTTATTAGATGTACATATTAGATTTACTATTTCCAAAATTTGAAATAGAGCAAGTTATAAATTTTATTAAATATTGATATTAAATATTATTTCCACAAAATCTAAGTAGTGAGGGTACACAAATTTTGTATGGAGTACGGTTCAATTTTTGAGAGCCTCACTACTTAGATTTTGTGACTACCTTAGTGTATCTCATAATTTAGCAATTTATCTGAAAACGCCTATAAATTCGCAACTCTGATTTCAAAGGTGAATCGCAAAAATTTTGGGGCGTACGATAAATTTATCGTCAAAAAATAAAAATCATATACACCTGAAATAAAATCTAAATTTTTAATTTTTAACTCTCGAAAAAATAATCGGATGCCCCAAAATTTTCGATTAAAATTTGCATCAGAATTTTTTTTTATGATTCAAATAACGAAATCATGCAAAGAATTAAAGCGTGTTGGCGTTCTTTCAGAATACGGACGATTTAATATCAATATTAATGGTCGAATAATCAAGACAAAGAAGTCTTCTGCAGTTTGTTTTTCAGATTTAATCCAAGAAAAATGTTTTATTAATAAATCGATATCATCATATGAAGCAAATCTATATCTTAAATGTGAAGATTCAATTGACATACTTTCAGAGTTTCTAGAAACAGGAAAACTTGAGTTTGAAGAAGATGAATCACATTATCACGATTTATTTGAAATTGGAAAACATTTTGGAAATCAATTATTCATAAAAATATATACAAAGCATGTTAAATTAGACAAATCTATTACAAAAGAAAACGTTTTTCAAAAGTATGAAATTTCAGTTTTTGAAAATGATATTATAACAGAAAACGAATGCATTCGATTCATTTCATCACATTTGTATTGTTTATATGATAAAGATATCATTGAACATTTCGCAAAAAATGGTTATGAATTTTGTGAAAAAATCATTACCTCAGACGAATTAAAGATCGACAACGAAGATCATTTATCTCTTTTACTTTTATCAATCTGCAAACAGAATGATACATTGTTTGACTTATTTAGATACATCAAACTTACATTTTGTTCACGAGAAACTTATGACATAATTTATAATTTTTGTATTGAGCATTCATTCGAAAGAGTTCTTCTTTCTATATATAACGAAACATTAAAGAATTATCATTCAAATCTTCGAGAAAATATTGAAATCTCAAATGAACCTATTTGTGCTTATGAATCTCATTATGAAGAAATTTCTAAGGAAATTAAAATAGAATTTACAGCTTCATCTGTCGCATTTGGAAGAAGTTTATCAGTTATAAATTCTTATCGAAATTATGCTAATTTCTCTACTAATAGTTCTCCAAATTCATGGATAAAAGCTGATCTAAAAGGATATAAATTAAAGCCAACATCTTATGTTTTGCAATCAACAGTTATAGGTTCTATGAATTTATTGAGGCGATGGAAGCTAGAAGGAATCAAAGAAGATGGAACAACTGTTGTATTAGATAATGATAAATATTATGAATTTAAACAAAGCGAAATCAAAGAATTTCCACTTGAAACAAACGAATATTTTGTATCTTTAAAATTAACTCAAACAGGAAAGACTTCAGACAATTATGATATTTTAATGATTAATATTTTCGATTTCAAAGGTGAATTAATAAAAAGATAAAAATAGATTTTATCACACGATCATGAATGAATTGTTGTAAACAGAAATCCATCAAAAGTGACACCTCAGAAAAGCTAAATTATTGAATTTTTGGAACTTTTGATAGTGCACGTTTTTAAATATTAATTAAAGTAAATGTATATTTTGTAAAGATTCTTTTTAATAAAAAAATAAAATTTTGAAGAAGAACACAAAATCTTCTGAAAAATAATATCACATAAACTCATATTATTTTCTAATATATAACTATTTGATATAAAAATCAAATTCAATGATCTTAAAAGCGAAGGATAACCTCAAAATTTACGAATATAATGAGTGGGAATATAATGCTTATCTATCATAAAACCATATGAAATATCAATTTTTGCTTTACGCCTAATTTTTGACGACAATTAGCAAAAAATGTTAAATGTTAACACTCAGTCCATTTGAATATGAAAAATAAAATTGACTTTGATTAAATGTTTTATTTATCATGCAATTCTTCTTGCGACCAAAGATTTGAATAAAAGTTCAAAAAATAAGATAGCTTAAGAAATAATATACGGTAGTGTTTACTAATAGATGAATAGTATATAAATTCTATTAAAATGGATTTGATCCAAAAAAATATATAAATTTGATCATAAATAAAATCGTTTTAAATTACTTCTTCATTTAAATTATAACAATTATTTTTGGTTTTATATTTTTTTGGATCAAATCCATTTTAATAGAATTTATATACTATTCATCTATTAGTAAACACTACCGTATATTATTTTTTAAGCTATCTTATTTTTTTAAGTTTTTTCAAATCTTTGGTCGCAAGAAGAATTGCATGATAAATAAAAACATTTAATCAAAGTCAATTTTATTTTTCATATTCAAATGGACTGAGTGTTAACATTTAACATTTTTTGCTAATTGTCGTCAAAAATTAGGCGTAAAGCAAAAATTGATATTTCATATGGTTTTATGATAGATAAGCATTATATTCCCACTCATTATATTCGTAAATTTTGAGGTTTATCCTTCGCTTTTAAGATCATTGAATTTGATTTTTATATCAAATAGTTATATATTAGAAAATAATATGAGTTTATGTGATATTATTTTTCAGAAGATTTCATTCTATATGCCTATGAAAAGTACTCTCAAAACTAACTTTTTCCTAATTATAATTAAATCTAGAATATTGTATTATGCTTAGTATTATTTCATTTTTCTCATTCAATTTAGAATTTACAAATGTCAAAAAATTGAGAGCTGTCACTTTTGATGAATTTCTGTTTATTACAGAATAATCATATATATCATTCATCTCCAGTTGACTTCTTAAGCTCAAATGATTCCTTGCTTCTTTCTGGTAGACCCCAAATCACATGATAATTTCATGAAATATATCCCACGTAAGATCTTAAGATCCAGGAAATTTAGATTTTTTTTTGAAAAATAAGAAATAATCATCTAAAATAAAAAGAAAATATTTATTTCTTATTAATGCATTGTCGGTGATACAAAGCACCTGTTGGAGTTCTTTCGAAAGTAGAATATCCAAGTTTCTTTCCGCATCCTTCGCAATCAACATCTTCATTAACTGCAATCTTGACTGCTTGTGCTCTTAACAATCTGTACTGTGCTTCGAATTGTTCTGCTTCTGCGTGGGCAGCTTCAATTTCAGCATCTCTCTTAGTTGCGATCAAAGACCTGTACAACTGCTCGACAAACATGAGTGTTGTGTCCAAGGAAGCATTTGTATTAAGTGAACCTAAAGCATAAGAAATATCAATAATATCAATATTCTTTGTTAACAATTTCGTTAGTTCCGATAAGAATTCTTCTTGCGACAATTCAGCCTTCACCTTTTCTATCAGCAGTTCGAAAGCCTTTGGAGGGTTTGAGCAATCTCTGCATGAAAGAGCAGCTTTTTCTGGATCGCCGTTGTTATTTGCCCATATAATATCGAGGGCCTCTTTATATTTATCTGCAGCAAGGAAGATGGAGATCTTCAGGGAGGAAGATGTGAAATCTGCCACGCTATTTAACAATTTAGTCTTATCTAATTCGTTAAATTCAGTGGATACCAAGTTCTGCAAGTAATCAGATAACTCGCGTTCGATATCTTCAATGGGAGGATGTCCATTTGGAGATCTGATTACGCATTTAAGGTAAGAAACGGTAGAATAATCGAAATCAGGCTTATGGAGTGATGAAAGTGCTGTACACAAATCGTTGGCCAATTTGGCAATGATGGTCGACCGACCAACTAACGAAGAATTATGAACAGTTCCAAGTAGGAACAATTGCTGTAGAGCAGGGAAGTTCTCGGTGACGTAGGCTGTTGCCTTGTTCATGTCTACCCTTGGATCTGTGAGAATTTCCATACCGCGAATTGGATCTGCCTTGATAAAGGAATCCGCGTGCTCTTTGATGAATTCCCAGTCACCAGAGTTGGCCTTGAGTAATCCGATGACGATATCAATGACTTCTGTGCTTCTATCTGTTGTCAATGCGAAAGATTTCATTGCTAACTTGGCTTCTCCGAGCAATGAGTAGACAATAAGGCGAGTGGAGTGATCAGGAATTGTATCCATGAACTTTATGATGATATCCTTGTTGTAATTGTTCTTGGATTTGATTAATTGAGAAATTTCAGGAGTTTTCTTCTGGAGGATGAGGATTTCGAGGGTCGCTGTCTGGAATATCTCTTGTATTCTCGCTATTTCTTCATACTCTTCCTTGGATACCGTGTTTTTGAGTTCTTTCGGATAATGTTGCTTCAAAGCAGCCAAAAGAGACTGTAAGGATTGTGGAGATGAGTCGAGTTGGGACTCTTCGAAGTATCTTGGCTCGTATTCTACGATTTCTTCTCCAATTTCTTCCTCTTCTTCGTCATATTCTTTTTTATGAACGTAAAAGTGCAATTGCGAGAACAGAGTAAGGATGTCCAGAATGTATCTTCTGAATTCGGGGTAATCAAACAGCTTCAAAGCCATATCTCTGAAAGGATACGTAATTTGAACGGTATTTTGTATAGTTTTCTGAATCGTATTGTTCCAGGCGACTTGGAAGAAGGCGCAGATGGTTGCTGCCTCGGCATCAGGAAGCTTCTTCGATAGATCTTTCATTTGATTACGAGATAACAAATCAAATGCTTCGTAAACATCAAAAAGTTGGTAGACATGTTTATCATTTGCGAAGAAAGTATAGTCCCTGGCATCAATCTTCATTGCTGTCGTAGAATGAAGGCCAATTCCAGGTAATTTGAACGGTTCGTTCGCAAAATCGTAAATATACTGGGAGGTATCGGTCGTAGAGAAGTATCCCTTTGGAACTTTTGTGTTGTTGAATGGTACATTGTCGAAATTGATTTTATTTACCCTTGCGTCGAGATTTTGATTGATATAAGATGCCATATTTTCTGTAAAGAAGATATAGCTTGTACGAGATGCACAAATAGAAGTCGGTGAAGGATGATTTGTCTGATTATGAAGATTTTCGCAAGGATTCGACATTTTAATCCTATCATCAGGTTGATTGAGGTTGATTTTGACGATAGCATTTTTAAGGACAACTAACGCGCTTGGATAGTTTAATGAAACCGATAAAATATCTTCTTCAAATTCAATTTCTTTTTTATCATCGATATTTGAGTAATCCGGGATGAATGTAAGTATGTTTTTCTTTGTGTAGATAATAGATTGATTCATTTCTAAAGAATACTGGTTGAGAGCGTAAAAATCGCAATCATAAGTAAAGTAGAGAGGAGAATCAACGCCAGGTTTCCATTTACATAACGGTGCACTATCAGTGGACTTCAAATATAATATTAAGCTGTCATTATAAGATTTAATTTCTTTAATGTAATAATCTCCAAAACTGATATCAAGAGCGTCACCATCTTTTGTTGCTGTAACTACTCCATTAAGATTTCCAAGCTCATAGAAACTGAATCGTGCTTTATAGTCTTCTAATTCGCGAACAACAACTAATTTCTGATCTATATGGGCAATTGTTTGAATTCTATGGCTGTCATGTTTGTTTTCTAACCCTAAATCCAAAGGGACCATCAAATACTGATGGACGCTTTTCATCAGGGAAAAAAATTAATTTTTTTATATCGTTCTATTTTTTTAATCACATTGGTGCTTCACACCGATAAGATCAAGATTTTTTTATTTCATTTTAATCAATAGATCGAATTGGCATCTCGAAGATACCTATTTTTGTTGACTTAGAATTAATTATTTTGGGTCCGATTTAACAAAATCATTTTGCATTTGAAAATAAATTGAAACATTTTAATAAATATGTAATTTCATAGTTAATACTTAGATATTAAGGGCCATTATGACAAAAAATATATTGGATTTTTTTTCATGGTTTATCTTTTGTAACAATGATTGAAAGATAATAACCAAATATATCAAGAAATTATTTTCTTGTAATTGATAATAAATATTCTCTTACTGCTCCTTTCGATTCATCAAGTGCTGTTTTTCCTTTATCATTCTTTGCAAATTTATTAGCTCCAACCGAGATAAGATATTTAACAACTTCAAGACGACCTTTCCATGATGCCCTAATGAGTGGAGTATATCCATCATTATCCTTTGCTTCTTTATTACCCTTAAATTTTTGTTATTGGACGAAAAAGTGACACCAAATCACACTTGTTTGTTGAATCTTACCATTCCAGATAAATATAGCAACTTGATTTTATGAAATTAGACAGATATATATGTGTACTTTTATCCCGTGTTGTTTTCTCGAAAACCTAATATCCTATGGGGATGCTGATTTTGAGCTTGTGTAAAAGTCAAGTGTCAATTATATGGCAATATTCTACCATATGTGGTGATTATATTTGAATATGTGTCTTTGTTCAAATTAAAAGTTTGAGGTGAAATTAGCCTTATTGTATTTTGATGTGGTATTATTTATGGATTTCTTTGATGTAATATATTAATATATCATGAGTAAATGCCAATAATAGCTTTTATTGAGATTTTTGCACAAATCATGTCAAAAGATTATTGATGTTTGACATGATCATGAGTTATGCTTTTTTTTGACTTGTCGGGGTATTTTGCCTAATGGTTAGAACAGAATGGCTATGTGTTGTCGATAATCATAAATAATTTATTTGGCGCTATTTTGTTTATCTAATTGGTAACTATATATTCAGGGGCTAAGACTGTTTCTAGAAATAATGTACATAATAAGAAGGCTAGAAGTCGTGGTTTTTTGGCGTATTACAAAAATATCCTATAAAGAATCATATTTGAGCCATATTTTTAAATGCAATGATATATTTATGGAATTTATATCTAGGATATATAAAGTAATATGAAATTAATACTGAATAAAAAAAAATATAAAAAAAATTAAAGGAAATTAAGTAAAAATATGTTAAACATTTGTGAAATATAGGCAGAAAATGTGGAGTTACATTTATCATCAAGAAATATGTTTAAAATTTTTGAATAAAAAAAAGATTCGATTAGAACAAATTATAAAGTGAAAGTATAAATCTTACATAAGAAGGTTAATGATTCGTTATATAAAATACTAAATTTTAATAGAAGAAAATTAAGAAATAAGCGATCTTATATTATTATTAAGGAAACAAAAAATGATATTTTTGGCATAATGGTATGGTTTGTATGTCAGGATTAAATGGATTGAGTTCGAATCAAGACAGTATAATTTTTTTAATTTTCGCATTTGATAATCATAATATTAAAATGGGATAAATTTAATGATTTATTTATATGGTAGCTTTCAAATATATAAATATCAAAGAAAATGGCAAACTTTTTTCTTAAATTTTTTTGTTTTACCAATAAATTCCTCAATTTCGATCAAACGAATGGTTTTATTTGTCTTAATATTCAATTATATATATGAATGCCGATAATGTGGTCGAGATGAACGGTTAGAGGCGGTTTAAAAATGTATGGCCTGCTAGCCAGATGTTACAGCTTGAAGCCGGTTGGGTTCCGAATCTTCGCCTCCTGAGATCTCACGAAGATCGCCCAATTCAGAAAAACGCCTCCCCTTGGTGCGCTTGAGCTGCCTGCATAGTTAGCAGATCATTTTTTTGCTTTAGGTTTTTAGCAATCTTTAAATTGTTAGATCATTGATGCAATGAGTATGAAAATATTCATGCATGAGACAAGAACGTTCCTCATTTGAAACTAGTATGCAGGAATAGATCGAACAATTTAAGATATTAGTGGGCTGCAACTATTGAGTTCTAATTTGGGAAGACACTGCAACTGCATATGTCCCAAAATGGCGTACTGTTCGGCAATCAGGATCAGATAGCCGTACTTTGACCGATAAGAGTGTAATATGCACTCTTGTCGGTCTGCATGTGTCATTCTGGGAGACATTGTCACTGCATGTCTCCCAGAATGGAACACTGTTCCGCATTCATAACTTGAATGCGGAACTTTGACCGACAAGAGTGTATTGTGCACTCTTGTCGGTCACAATGTCTCATTCTGGGAGACATTGTCACTGCATGTCTCCCACAATGAGACAATCTTCTGCAATCAGAATGTGATTGCAAAAGTTTGACCGACAAGAGTGTATTGTGCACTCTTGTCGGTCACAATGTCTCATTCTGGGAGACATTGTCACTGCATGTCTCCCACAATGAGACAATCTTCTGCAATCAGAATGTGATTGCAAAAGTTTGACCGACAAGAGTGTATTGTGCACTCTTGTCGGTCACAATGTCTCATTCTGGGAGACATTGTCACTGCATGTCTCCCACAATGAGACAATCTTCTGCAATCAGAATGTGATTGCAAAAGTTTGACCGACAAGAGTGTATTGTGCACTCTTGTCGGTCACAATGTCTCATTCTGGGAGACATTGTCACTGCATGTCTCCCACAATGAGACAATCTTCTGCAATCAGAATGTGATTGCAAAAGTTTGACCGACAAGAGTGTATTGTGCACTCTTGTCGGTCACAATGTCTCATTCTGGGAGACATTGTCACTGCATGTCTCCCACAATGAGACAATCTTCTGCAATCAGAATGTGATTGCAAAAGTTTGACCGACAAGAGTCTAATATGCACTCTTACTTCTCATATATAATTATTAAACAACCCCTTCTATCTTTCAAATCTTATTTTACCTTATTAATATTTATTTTCTATTTTTTGTGCTTTATATAACTTATGGCCTGTACTTAACTATTTTACAGACTATGCTGAGTTATTCCCAAATTTAAATATGTGACAAAAATACATATATACTCCCTTCAGGGCTTGGGTATAATCGGCGTCATATTGGCGTCACAACCGTTTTCATTCAATTTTGAAAGGTTTACGGCGTCATGAAGATAGAATTCAAATAGGGTCGCGTCACATGTAAAGTGTCAAAAATATTTTGATGAACACTAAACTCTTCCCGTGTTCAATTTTTAAAGGTAATATTATAGATACAGTTTCCTGTAATGTGAGAGATTTATAAATTATAGTTAGTTTTATCAATATCCATTTACTTGATCAAGAGTGATTATGTGTAAACTTCTCAATTTTATCATAGAGAAAGCATCACAATTCTTTCAAAAAAATTTAAAGAGTAAAGAAAATAAAATCGAATTATTTATATTTGTAAATATAATTTGATTATGATATTACAATTTAGAAGAAAATAGACTTTTGGTATAAAAAAAAGTATTCAAAAATAAATTTAAATATCTCGTTTATTATCTAATTTTAAATCTATTTTTAAATTTTTATAAAAATACACTTTTCATAAGTATTCAATATTTGAGAATCCGCTCCAAAAAAGAAAAGATTCTCTTATATTTGCTTATATAAAAGGGGACTCTCTATCAGAATCGAATGTATGAATTCAGCGCCTCTGATAGAGAGTTTCCTCTTATATAAGCAACTTTTTTTTCATGCGATATTGTGTATCAAAACACAAAAATCTACTATTGTGAGAAATTAAACCCTGCGAGGTACCAGTCTAGAACTGGCACTTCGCAGGGTTTAATTTCTCTTGATGGATGACAAATCTTACTCGCAATTATGAATCATTGAGAGCAATGATTGGCACTTGTCTTGAGAAATTAAAGACTGTGGAAAACCGTTTTACATGTTAGTTCCCCACAGACTTTAGTTTAAGCCAGATAAATGGGAAAGTTTACCAGCTATCTGGAAGGAATTGCTCCTTATGATGCATACATTGTATGTGTGTACATCATATGGAGCAATTCCTTCAATTAAACGAAAAAAACTTTGGTGCAATCTTGAACGATTGCACCAAAGTTTTCGAACTTTACTGAGAGAATTGAAGGGTGAGAGATACATAGTCTATCTATGTACCTCCCGCCCTTCAATTCCAATTCTAAATGGAGAAACTTTGTTTGAATGTTATCTTATTCAAACAAAGTTTCTCCCATTTAGAGTTGGAATAGGAGCCTACGAAGCACTGATATATAATCAGTGCTTTGTAGGTCCCTATTCCTAATACAAACTTCGAAAACTCGGTCGCAATTCCATCTGATTGCGACCGAGCTTTCGAACTTTCCAGAGGGAATTGAAGGGTGAGAGGTATATAGTATGCCTATATGCCTCTCACCCTCCAATTCCTTCTCTGAAGCTGGGAAATTTTGTCTGAATGTTAAATTATTCGGACAAAATTTCCCAGCTTCAGAGAGGGAATGGAAGCCTACCAGGCACTGATACATAATCAGTGCCTTGTGGGTTCATATTCCTAATAGAAAGTTCGAAAACTTTGGTGCAATCAGCAACGATTGCACCAAAGTTTTCGAACTTCGTATAAGGAACTGAAGGGTGAGAGGTGTATAGTTTATCTATATGCTTCCCACCCTCCAATACCCTCCCTGAAAGCGGGAAACTTTGTCTGAATGTTAAACTATTCAGACAAAGTTTCCAGCTTTAAGAGAAGGAATTGATGGCTATGGCGTACTGATTCATAATCAGTACATCATAGCTATCAATTCCTTAGAATCAGTTCAAAAACTTGTGTGCAATGAGATGCCATTGCACACAAGTTTTTGAGCTTTGTATAGTGAATTGAAGGGTGAGAGGTGTATAAGCA